CTAGTATAACACTACTTTATTAAAACATTCTTCATAGACACGGATTGTAATCATCTAAACTATTTTATTGTAAGGGTTACTTCGTAAATAGTAAGCTTTAAAAAATTGTGAACTTCAAGAGGTTGACAAATGTGTGTCTATCTTATGCTCTGATTTTCATTGTTCGTCATGTTGATCTTGTAGTAACAATGTAATATATTTACAATTTAATAGAATATCCTAAACCATTCAAGAAATATTTAAACTTTATTCATTCTCCACTTTTTTTATGCCAATCTAATTAAAGTAGCTCCAACAAAAAGTGTTACGAATTAAGAAACCTCATATATTTTCTGACTAGATAGTAGCAGAACTACCCCAGATTTCAAACACTGCTTTTCAACTCAAAGTATTAAGGATGAAATGATCAACAAAGCAGTTAAGCTTTTTAAAAAAGATACCTCTTTGTCACATTTAATATCAAAACGTGAAATTTGCTTCAAATCACCCGGATATTTTATTAACGCTCATCGTCTGGTTGATATAACGGATTTAATTAGCTTTCATGTGATACACAATAAAGATCAATTAAATTCTCTTCTGTTTTCAGATGTTGGGTCTCTTCTGCAACCATCTGATGAAGATAGTTATTGATTATCTCAAAAGAAATTCAGTTGCTGTGCAATTTCTATTAAAAGAAAACTCAAGTGAAGACAAGTAAAATAGCTACTCAAACCCTTCTACTAAACCCCTTCATCCAAATCAATCTATGGTTTATAAATCATGTTTTCCAATATTTATAGATTTCCTTCCATTTCTAAATGCTCGGAAATAAAATGTTAGTGTATTTATGAAAAATTAGAATTTAATACGGAATTCCTACATATCAATTCCTTTGGAAACCCATAATTCGTCAGCAGGTTTGTTAGAATTTCTGTAAATCATCGGATAGACGAGTGCTGGCTTAACAAAGATTACCTCACTTCATCCTGCACCAAAATTCAACGACCATATTGCTTCCAGTTAATCAGCATATGTTGTAGAATTATAGGAATGTTGCCCTTGCTTTGCCAATCCTCGCCTTGACATCTACATCAAATCCTCCTTCTTCGTCGATGATGCTGACCTGTGAGGTACGTGAAAGTTTCCACCTGTTGCAGAGTTTATCCATCATGTGTGATTGGTTTGATTAGTGTTCTCTGTGAGGTTGCTGGTATTTCCCTTGTGCGTGTTGAAGTCTAGTCCAGCCGAGACCGCCGCTACACTTGTCATATTGATCTGAATTTGTTCGTGTGTATGGGATAGAAGGTCTGGGAGATCTGTGAAGTCCAAATCGTCTATTTGATTCCGAGCTGTCGATTGTATTCCGTGCTTCCCATTAGATGTGGTCTTCGTAATCCAGTCAACCACCAGAAGAATGAGAAAGGTGAGAGGGAAAGAAACAGAGAGAGTAAGCAACCTTGCTTGACTCCCGTTCTCACTTGGAATGCGTTTGTCAGCCGTCCTACATGCACGACTTTGCATTGTAGTTCGTCGTATGAATTTCAGATGATGTTGGCAACTTTCTCAGCTACTGACACCATAGTGCGGAAAAAGGTCCCATAGGGTTCTCCTATCTACTCTGTCAACTGTTTTCGCATAGTCAGTGAAGTGGGTGTATAGTGACGAATTCCATTCAATTGATTGTCCAACGATTACCCGTATTACCACAAATTGGTCCGTGAACAACCGATCCTTACGGAATGGAGTCTGTTGAACTCTAAATTGGATGTCTGCTGAATCATTCATCTGGTTGAGCAACAGTCTTTTAAAAACCTTTCCTGCTATCTATATTAGTGTGATTCCTCTGTATCTCTTCTAGAAAATTACTGCCGGTCTCTTGCCCGGCTAATGCAGGAGGATTGGGCATGGGTTCGGCAACCCTATCCTGTAGATAAAAACACCAGCCAAATTGATTTTACATAGTTTTATAAATATTCCAACAGTATTGTATTATATATTTTTCAGTGTTCTTATCGAATGTATTACTTTTTTTCACAAAAATAAAATAAAATAATAGAAGCTTTGATTTTTCTCATTTATTCATTCAATTTGTGTGTTTGTTGTTTTATATTTCATTTGTAGTGAGAATTTGAGCTTTTTTATATTTAATCATTATCTTGGTTGATTATTCTGAGACTTCAAATCACCCGGATATTTTATTAACGCTGATCGTCTGGTTGATATAACGGATTTAATTAGCTTTCATGTGATACACAATAAAGATCAATTAAATTCTCTTCTGTTTTCAGATGTTGGGTCTCTTCTGCAACCATCTGATGAAGATAGTTATTGATTATCTCAAAAGAAATTCAGTTGCTGTGCAATTTCTATTAAAAGAAAACTCAAGTGAAGACAAGTAAAATAGCTACTCAAACCCTTCTACTAAACCCCTTCATCCAAATCAATCTATGGTTTATAAATCATGTTTTCCAATATTTATAGATTTCCTTCCATTTCTAAATGCTCGGAAATAAAATGTTAGTGTATTTATGAAAAATTAGAATTTAATACGGAATTCCTACATATCAATTCCTTTGGAAACCCATAATTCGTCAGCAGGTTTGTTAGAATTTCTGTAAATCATCGGATAGACGAGTGCTGGCTTAACAAAGATTACCTCACTTCATCCTGCACCAAAATTCAACGACCATATTGCTTCCAGTTAATCAGCATATGTTGTAGAATTATAGGAATGTTGCCCTTGCTTTGCCAATCCTCGCCTTGACATCTACATCAAATCCTCCTTCTTCGTCGATGATGCTGACCTGTGAGGTACGTGAAAGTTTCCACCTGTTGCAGAGTTTATCCATCATGTGTGATTGGTTTGATTAGTGTTCTCTGTGAGGTTGCTGGTATTTCCCTTGTGCGTGTTGAAGTCTAGTCCAGCCGAGACCGCCGCTACACTTGTCATATTGATCTGAATTTGTTCGTGTGTATGGGATAGAAGGTCTGGGAGATCTGTGAAGTCCAAATCGTCTATTTGATTCCGAGCTGTCGATTGTATTCCGTGCTTCCCATTAGATGTGGTCTTCGTAATCCAGTCAACCACCAGAAGAATGAGAAAGGTGAGAGGGAAAGAAACAGAGAGAGTAAGCAACCTTGCTTGACTCCCGTTCTCACTTGGAATGCGTTTGTCAGCCGTCCTACATGCACGACTTTGCATTGTAGTTCGTCGTATGAATTTCAGATGATGTTGGCAACTTTCTCAGCTACTGACACCATAGTGCGGAAAAAGGTCCCATAGGGTTCTCCTATCTACTCTGTCAACTGTTTTCGCATAGTCAGTGAAGTGGGTGTATAGTGACGAATTCCATTCAATTGATTGTCCAACGATTACCCGTATTACCACAAATTGGTCCGTGAACAACCGATCCTTACGGAATGGAGTCTGTTGAACTCTAAATTGGATGTCTGCTGAATCATTCATCTGGTTGAGCAACAGTCTTTTAAAAACCTTTCCTGCTATCTATATTAGTGTGATTCCTCTGTATCTCTTCTAGAAAATTACTGCCGGTCTCTTGCCCGGCTAATGCAGGAGGATTGGGCATGGGTTCGGCAACCCTATCCTGTAGATAAAAACACCAGCCAAATTGATTTTACATAGTTTTATAAATATTCCAACAGTATTGTATTATATATTTTTCAGTGTTCTTATCGAATGTATTACTTTTTTTCACAAAAATAAAATAAAATAATAGAAGCTTTGATTTTTCTCATTTATTCATTCAATTTGTGTGTTTGTTGTTTTATATTTCATTTGTAGTGAGAATTTGAGCTTTTTTATATTTAATCATTATCTTGGTTGATTATTCTGAGACTTCAAATCACCCGGATATTTTATTAACGCTGATCGTCTGGTTGATATAACGGATTAAATTAGCTTTCATATGATACACAATAAAGATCAATTAAATTCTCTTCTGTTTTCAGATGTTGGGTCTCTTCTGCAACCATCTGATGAAGATAGTTATTGATTATCGCAAAAGAAATCTATTATTCTGAGACTGACTATTTAAAATGTTTTGATAACAACTCTGTTTTTCTTTTCATCATGTTTATCGTCAGGATATTCGTAAATGAACACAGGGATTGTTAGTTTATATTGAAGTATTTCATTAAATGTGATGACGATTTATCACCAGACGTGCTTTCAGTTAGTCGTTGAATTGTATTATCTATTATCTATTGGCAGTTTCATCACTGGGCATTCCTTTCATGTGAACTTAGTTATCCTGTTGGTAAACTTTCCTTTACCATTTAAGAAAGTATTAAAATACCAATTAAATGTGTTGTATATGTTGCCTTGTTAATAGAAAAATAGGCCTCAGTAATTTTTTGTTGCTGTTGCATTGATGTGTTCATATATATATATATATATATATATATATATATATATATATATATATATATATGTATATGTATATATATATATATATATATATATATATCTTCTAGGTCTAATAATGATCTAAATCTACTCTTCAATTGATATGTTCAAAAAGACGCATATGGTCAGGACCCTACACTAATTTTGAATGCGAGGTATTAGTGGATATTAAGTCTTTTTGCTTTATCACTTATGTAAAACGATATTTCACTGATGTTTCTTTGTTGAAGAAAAATTTCGGGTTAATGTTCACTGTTCTCATACATCCGACGAAGTATACCCTAACTGTTGTATTCGCTATACTACTAAGTAACATGTGAAATGATTTTGTCCTTCCTGTGTTAAAATGTACTTCAGCGAAATGTATTTCTTTTAAATCCAGAATTATGCTCCAGGATTAACTTTATTCGCTGCCTAGTTTCATTAATATCCCAACAACTTTTATCACCTTACAATCAAATATATTTTCGTAACATCTATTAGCATATGGACGTGCTATTTTTTTTCTCAAGAACGCTATGTGGTTGAAAAATACAACATGATTGCGTCTATTTTTCTAAACCATAAATTTCTTCTTTTCCTACTTTTCTTAGGTATTTATGAAGGTTTATTTGTGTTACATACTAGCTGAAATTGTTTCATTTTCATAATTCAACCCACAATTTTAATGCTTGTTCTTCTGTGGATCGATCAGTAGCTAATACTTTCACGTATTATTTACATTAAAATTACACAATTAAATTTGACCTTGTGATTCAAGTCTGAGATTAGTGAGTAGATTCAGTCGTGATTTTTTTTAATGTTCTAGATACATCCTTTTGATAATTAATAATATTTCTTACATAATAAGCTGTAACTAAAAGCTTGTTAAACAATATTGTACGTATTTACTGAACAACCAAGAATTTTTATACGAAGTTAGTTTATTAGTTCATCAATCAATTTTTGGTCCATAATTTGAATAAAATCTTTTCTATAGTGTAACAACGATAGTCTATTTATTTTTTCATTTATTTTTAGCCTATTTTAAATCCCTTGCCTCTACCTAGTCAGGGGATTTAATAGAATATCCATCAAATTATCAAAGCCATTATTTTTCATTCTGCTTTCACTAACAGAATCGATGTTTCAGTCAAGAAAGTCAATTTCTTTCCTACTATTCACTTTTTACATAACAATTTACTGTCAATCAACGATCTTTGATCCTGAAACCGGTAAACACTATCCAATATCAGATTCTTCTCGTATAGAAGACATCCCATTTTTGTTACCTAGTCCTGATCCTAAAGAGTATCCACCAGAATTTCTTAACTCTTTACTGGAGCATTGTAATGATCCCATGCCTAGTTACATTGAACTGTTCTCAAAAGCTTGGATTGCTTTTAAAGAAATGGGTTTCAGCAAATCAACGTTTCAAAACACTTTCTTATTTGTTCGCCGCATCATCTCTGCTATACGTCCATTACAAGTATTTCATGCTTTATTGACAGGCATTTTACTTACTCTTCTTCGAGTGTATATCACACGAAAGCTTTATACGGTGAGTTTTTTTTGACAACTTAACACCCACTTATTGGTTCGCTATATATTCAAATGAATGCATTGTAGTGCTTAAGAACGAAGTGAATCTATAAGTTGTTGATTGTTTCGCGTTTCATCAGTATGATGTGTGTAGTCATTTCCTATTTAACAAAACTGTCCACATACACGCTTCCTCCTATTTAATATGCGTATTTTGGCCTACACTATTATAAACTGGAGTAAAGAGTCATAGTTAATTATCTCAGTTTAAAGTAGGTTATAATGTAAACAAAGCTACATGAAATAATCCGGGTTGGTTTGGTACGACCTGATAATCTTCGTATCAGTTTAATGCACACCATCTTACATCTGTCTATCCTCATGGAGTATAGGTCGCCAACCAGGATTTTCCAACTTACTCTGTCCTGAGCTCTCTTTTCATTTGTTCCAAAGTGCTATTCGTCCTTTAGATATCTGCTTCCGATTACTGATGCAATGTGCTTTCTTGTTTGCCTCTTTAGCATTTAGGATTCTAAGTTAGGGCTTGCTTTATGATGTAGCTTGGTGATTTTCGTAATATGTATATACATCTCTTCCTAATTTCTTCCCCATCTGGAAGCTGGTTTGTTCTATGCTACAGTAGGTTGTTGTTAATGCATACCATCTAATATTATAATATTCATTGATTATAATTGTCTATTGATAGGATGGATTTGCGTTTATGTTTAGCCGTAGGTGAAGTTACGTATGACTGAAAATGTCATAAAATGGTAGTGCAACTTCAGAATTTGATTTGAAACCACACCACTAAAGTTGAATATCTATGTAATCAGAACTCTGAATAATCATTTATGCTGTTATTACTTAAATAGGCTGTGAGTGATTAATTGCTGATTAGCCTTCACTGATATGAAGTATACCGGGGCAGTTATCATTTTCTGAAACCAGATGTATTAGAAGACAGAATAACAATGGCTGATATAGAGGATATCTAGTACAAAAGTAAACATTTTCAAAAGCTATTTATTAAGACGTATACGATTTTAGAGTAAGGGTTTTTATAGCATACACAACAGTAATCATACTGACTTATATAGCTTTTGTCCTATAGACTTGGGATTTGAGTGTTCGATCTCTAAGTGAACCTTCCATGTCTAGTAATTCGTTTTTGCACCAGTTCCCTTTTCAAATTCAGCATGTGGAGTTTGTCCATAGGACTGGCTTTACTGTGTTTATATTACACTCATTTATCTTAGAGGATTTTACGACAAAACTTCACTGGATATTAGCTAATTAACATGAGTAATTTTGCTTCATTTCACAGTATAATTTGTGCACATTATCCGGTTGCTCAGATCAAAGTAATTAAGTTGGTTTAAAATGTAGAAATTATTTCCAGTATGATGAGTGTGTTTTCAGAATTCTGTAAGGAAGATATATTTCTATTTTTCAGAAGCTTATTACCGATGTTGGTGTAACTCCAGAAGTTTCTGGTAAACTTATTGAATCTGGTTGGAAATGTTTTTGGTTCTTATTTATGTGGCTTTTTAGCCTACAGGTTGTAGTTTTAAGTGGCAGAACAGATTTCCAATATCCCTTGTGTGTCTTTCGCAATAACATATTTACAAGTAAGTATTCTTCTCATGAAATTAATTGTTTAACTAGATTTACGGCTTCCTGCCGATTACCTTCAACTAATCCACCTAACCCTAGAGTGTTTGTATAAACAAAATATCGGACAATATTGTAAAACACCTGACAGTTTCTGGACTTTACTGTGTAGCTTTAACTGCGTTCTGAATATGTGTTGGACGGATTACCATTGATTCTCGAAAATTAGAATATGTTGAAAGTGTAGTATTCAAACGATTTGATTACTTTAACCTCATAAGCATACATTCTCCGTTATCTTCGTTTAATGCTGAGTAGAAGTTTTAAGAAGGTAGTAAATAGTGCCACAATTACAGTCATTCGTAAAAATGATCTGGCATGAAGAGAAATATCTTTGTCATTAGGAGAAAGCACTTTTGAACTGAAATACATTTACACTTTTTCTAAGAGATGACAATAAAGTAAACTATTGTATATGTTTAATAAATTAAATCTATGCTGATAATGTTGACTGTGTCAAATCACTGTGCTTACCACCGTTACATCCTTAGACTTAAAATATAAAATAGATCTAAATTTCCCTTTCATTGTCCAATGAACTTCTATTAACATCAATATCAAATAGAATTATTGGAGTACGTTTATTCAGCATAAAATCATCTCAATAATCCCGATTAGATCAGATCATAGTTTTACAAGTAATTTGTCAGTTTATGTCAGATGATATACTGATATATCTTTAAAATAAAGCCTATTGTAGTGAACGAAAACTTAAGCGGGGTAAACGAATTTATTGAATAAGGCAAAATTACACAGTGCTTTCCTAAAATATGGAAACCATACATTAAGTACATTATTTGCACATTTCCCATCAATTGTCCTTTACATACCTCATTATTCTTTCAATTCTGTTATTATTCAAATTATCTTCTGCTTTCCTTCCTGTTCTCTTCAATTCAGTCTTCAGCTGGTGGTTATTCCACTTCTCATTATTGCTACATACCGCTTAAATCTGTCAGCATAAGCAACATACACCACAATATAATTATAAAATAATATAAAGAGGTGTGTCAGTTGTAATGTCCACTTATATTTTCATGCTTTTGACAATTATATATTCATTACATAAAAATAAACCTTGACTTCTTCTATATGCATCATATTTTTAAGTTATGAATAGGTATTGTTTCAGGAAATTAATTTGATGGGATTCAAAAATGCTCTATGTACTTTATAGATTTTACATCTCATGAGAACTGTAATATATTGGTTATGATTTTTAAGGGTGACTATTCTTAGTGTCGTGATCAGTTTTGATAGAAAAATGACAAGGATTCAACAAAAGCACTAGTTGTTGTGCTAAATAGATTCATTTAAATGATCAATTCAAATGACATAGAATGAATCGTTCGTTAACGTCTATCTAATTTGATTTCAGTGTACAGAGATATGGAAACTAAAATATGAATTAGTGTCATAGTACAATAAATATTTCACATAAATGGTTCGATTTTAAAGGATATTAATATATGATGAATATTTGTGTTTCATTAACTGTGGTTTATTACCTTGTGTTAGTGGCTACGATAGTTATTTCATGAAGTTTGGCTATCTCATAAAAAGCATTTTAAGCTAATCAAAAAGTTTGTGAATTATCAATTTTCCAAATCCCTAATCAGAATATTTAAATTCCGAGAATTTTCAGAGAAAATTTAAGATTACATATTCATAAATATATGATTGATTGTAATGGAGTTCATCAACATACATTTCTTTGTGAGATGTATTGATACAACATAAAAGTCAGTTGTTATTGACTAATGGTGCCTAGGTAAGATGTTGAAGTTGCTTGGTTCTGAAAGCATTCGATCTGTAACCAGTGGATATCAGATATGAACATCGCTCCATCTACTTTGATTTTAAAAAATGGATAGTATCACTAGCTTTCATGCATGATGTGGTTCAAAGTTGAGCAAATAAATTCAGGTTTAGTATAGGAGTTACATTTTAAAGCTTGAAGTAGCAACACTTATTGAAAAAATTGGAACTTCAAAACTAGTTTGAAATCAAATTCGAACCACTATCTTAAGTGTTATGTTCAAGAAAAGTAATCCTTTACATGATTTAATATAGTCTCATTGATGTATAAGTACTGTTTTCCCAGTTGGCTGTATGAAATATTAGACACTGACCAGAAATATAACCACTCAATTTTAAAAAAAGCAACTCAATGGTTTAATAACCCGATTTTTCGCTGGATAGTGACAGTTCCAAACGTCTCTTCAATTATTCTGATAGTATCAAGTGTGGCAGAATCAAAATTGTTCTTGATTACTAAGTAAAATCAGAAATATATGCATGCACATAAGTTGACTAACTTCATGATTTTTTTTTTCTTAAATTGAATTGTTTTAATCAGTTGGCTACTTTGATATTCCGACCCCTCCTGATTACTATTGGCTTTATACACTGCAGTTAGGATTCTACTTACACTCATTATGGAGTGTATTTTTTATGGATTTGTGGCGTAAAGATTCTTCTGTATTAGTTCTACATCATTGTTTGACACTTTTACTGCTAGAAGGTTCATTATTGCTAAGGTAAGATAAATAAATTATTCTCCATAAAGTAGTTATTACATTGCTTCGAGTTATTCCTGATAACTCATGAAAATAATTGAGATTAAAATCATCTTAAAATTCGTTCAACATTATCTTATTCTCAATCATTTTTGTGATTTCATATACCATATGAATTTAAAAACATTTTAAGGGCCGATTACCACTTTGATTTTTATTTAATTTCAATGGTTAAGATCATGAGTCAGTTGAAGCTAGACCACAATGGAAAACCTGGAAGCACTGAATGGCCGTTTCGTCCTATTGTGGGACGCCTCAGCAGTGTGCATCCACGACCTCGCCCCCTGCGAGATTCGAACCCAGGACCTACTGGTTTTATTTAATCGTTAACATTTTATGAAAATTAACGGAAACTATTCAAAACAGTCTTTCTATAAGCCTTAATTTGTACCTTACTTCTATTAATGGTGTTACATATCAAATGCAATCTTTCAACATCTTTTTATACTCTGTATGTAGCATACATAGAGTGCTTGTAGGTATAAAGAAACGATTATTTAATGTGCTAAAACATTTTGGAGAATTAAATAAGAATCAAGTGAATCATCGGGAGAAGATGAAAAATCAAAATTAAAGTGAAAATAATTTTTCGAAGAACATTAAAAATTGAAAGTAGAAATAGATAGTGGTAGGCGGATCACTTCCCAATTTTAAAATTAAGGATAGGAGAAGAAAATGATTTCGTCAGTACCCAACTCAATTTTTCTAATAGCTTTCGTTCATACTTTCTCTTCATAGATTGAAGGATATATATAAAGTTTGTGAAGTATCTACTGTACAACTTAAAACCAATTAACTCGCTATGAAGAATTGAATAATATGCATTTTCACACTGATTCCAATTCTACTGAAGTAAATTTAATCAAACCCATTTACAAAACACGTTTTCCGTACATGACTTTAAACTGCAAATTTTCTATGTGAGGGATAGGGTTGGTACTCAACTAGCTGAACTGTGTTTCAGTGTTCAAATTTGTAACTTAGCTATTAAAAGTCGAATACTGTAACATATAAGCCACCAATCAACCAAGTTCGATTGAAACAATAAATAACACTTATTGGCAATAATCTTACCTCTTATGAAAAGCCAAATATTCGAATGCAGTCACAGAAACGTACAAGTTTAAAATTTGAGATAAGTTAACTAAACTATTCGTGAAAGCTATATGAAATGTTTTGGAATTCCATCTGATGATTAGATATTTATCGATATCTATTGGTGTAACGATGTATTAATTTTAATGAGTATAAACTTTAGAAATCAGGAGAGGGGTTGCTTGATTTAACAATCACAGTAACCGACCGAACGGTAGACTCAGGGCGCACAAATCACTATCAACTACTGTTGTAAATGAATCTCTTTGGGCGCATATTTATTCGAGTGGTTATTAGTAGATTAATCTTAGACTTCAGTACAAGATGAATATTTTCAACTATAAAATAAATCAAGAAAATACTTATAATGTTGTAAAATCCCATATAAATTCAACACCAGGAGAAAGCTTCATTCTTTAGTACTCATTCGATTTCTATATGGTAATTTGTAACAGTGCCCCCAAATGCCCTGATATGGCCGAGAGTGGGGTGGGCCTGCTCTCCCTCTCGAAATGCTCTCACATGGCCATGCGTATACAGCCTTTGCCAGGGAAATCCTACTCACTGCCTTCTCGTGGCGGGGATGTTGTTTACGAAAATGAGAGGACGAAAAGCGAATGTTTGGCGCTTTAACCGGATTCCAAAACGATGGTGCACATGGGCTCCAGTATCCTGCGGGAACAAATGACGTATGAACCAGTCGTTGGTCACCGGCTTCCACGGGACTGCATCTCCTTACGATGATCCACCGCCTTGTGGATCAGACCTTTAGGTCGAAGGCTCGGGGTGTGGCCCCCTACGAAAACCACCTGCTTCGGTTTGGGCACCCGGGTAGTATCACAGCCCACACACACAAATATGGTGTGACGCATATATATTTGGTACCCTTTTGTACCAATATTTATGTGTTGAAATAAAATAAAATAAATAATTTGTAACAGTGCTTATTTCAGTAAAGCTGTTAGTATTCTAAAAAGCATTGGCATTCCATTTTGTAGTGTATGTGCTTGGCCATGATACATTTGTTTAAGTTAGGATCTAACCATCAATCAAATGTCGAGATTTTGTGGTAACATTTATGGAAAGCGTAAATAGAATGGTCACTACATAATCTTACAGTTGACTTTAGATACATTCAGCATTCATTCAAACGTCATTAACAAAAATGCATCGTTACAATATTTAATGAAAATGTTTGTTTATTTTTTATTAACAAAACGGTTCGCTAAAAACTCATATTGACTGACGCTTAGTCAGCAGTAGTAAAAAAACGTGACTTTCAATCATTAAGTCACGGATTTAAGTTTTTTACTTCATATTATTATGTAAACTTGGACTTGATAATTGAGTTTTATCAAAGCAGTTGTATCTTATGTCTTTGTTATTGGAACATGATGTCTCGACCCAAGGTTTTTCCAACTTTATTCATCGTTTTGTTGTATGTGAAATTACATGTGAATTGTGAGTTATTTTAGTCAGTGAGTAATGTAAGTTATCACACGTTGAATAACGGTTACTATTATTTCTACCTTAAGTTCAAAGATGGTAATGTGCTGTATTAGCGTGAGCGTAAAATTTAAAACGTTAGCGATCTATTCACCTTAAAAGTGTTTGTATTTATACCGAAAGAAATTGTAGAGACCTGTAGGTTCTTAGTTCGAGTCCCCATGAGGCCGTGAATAAACACTGCTAAGGAGTTTCATACTAGGACTTAACAACTATCCAGTGTTTTCTATTTTTTTGACTGTTGTCTTACTAAACCCAGTCCTTGATATCTAGTATGAAATCTAAAAGTCTCCACAAATCTCGTGTAGTAATTTCGTTCTTACTATCCCATTTTTTTTCAATTCAGTCTTCTAGTCAAAAGTTCTCACTACGCTTTACTCATTATTTGTTTAAAGTTTATTTCTCGCTCCATTTGTGTGTTTTCAAATATATCTTTTAGAATACATCGTGCGGGTGTTGTAACTTTACTTCTACATGATTTATGCGATGTATTTTTAGAATTCGGTAAAATAAATGCCTACTTGCGTATTCGACGCGGAAAAGTGTATACTATTCACGTAACTATTGCCAATATATGTTTTGCACTATTTGCAACATCATGGTAAGTAAATTGGGAAGTAAAATGATTCATTGGTAAATTATTATTCTATTAATAATTTTCAAAAGACTAGTATTTGAACGAAGAATATTCTTTTCTATAAATTCTCTTCAGGTTCTACAATTATATGTACAAATTAATAATCCGAAAAATCAGAATGGGTTTTGTGGAGATTTTTAGAAATTTCACAAGTTGAAATCATGAGTCAATTGAAGAGTCCCATACTAGGACGAAACGGCCGTCTAGTGCTTCCAGGTTTTCCATGGTGGTCTAGCTTCAATTGACTCATGATTTCAACTTGTGAAAAATCCGAAAAATGGCCAGGTTAAGGGCAAAGTACATCGTTTAACAAAATACAATAAAATCGTTAATGTTGATATGACTCATATAGAATGTTAACTTGAATCTGCGTATACGTTAAGTGAAATTTTATGATCCATGATCAGAATAAATATGGGTCAAATAGGATGAGAGAGAAATAATAGTGTAATTACAATTCGATCAAATTAACACTCAGATAATTCCCCAACTCAGAAAGTCTATTGAAATTAAGACAAATAATGATACACTGTGAAGTGTGTGGGCAGTTATAAAAAATTTTAAGTTCTCATTGTTGTTCAGTAAATAAAAATGCAAACTTTGCAAACATCATATTTAACCGCACACTTGCGGTTTTAATTGACTTGATTATTTTATTCAGTCACTATGTGATTATCAGCGGAATGTATTGTAGACTTGTCTAGTCCTGATCCTAATCAATTAATCTACGCCGTCTGTAATCACTAGGTCTTTCTTTCTATATATACATATTTAGATAGCGATTCGGGCTACATATTTCCTAACTATTCAAGTGTTGAAATAATTTCCCTACTTTCAATTTGCTTTAACCTACTGATACATTCGTACACTGTTTCAGTAATTTATAACTTCAATACCATGAGCGAAACTATTCTGTTCTCTTCTTTATCCATCCCGGATAACTAGAGTAATTACACCATTTTTGCAAATGGAGTTATCTGATATGAACTCAATAAAATCAGTCAAAATACGTTTAGTTTGTTGATGAAATATCAATAAAAAAATGATTAGAACTGACACAAAGTATCATCAAAAAAATGGATTGAATCTCTATAACTAGTGTTGATACTGAATAATGTACTGTAATAAAGTTTCAACCGAATCGATGATAAATTAATTCATATAAGTTATATTTTAAGATTGCTTATCCCCAGTACTTACTGATTATGTATTTTAATTATATTATTTACTAAAGTACCTTTACAAAAAGCTAACAATACCAAGTGTTTAAATAGACACTTCCCCCCTCCATACCTCTTTATTCTATTATGTGTGACGAAATATCAGTACGGATACAGAAGGCTCGACTAGCTTTTGCCAAATTGCGTCATTTGTGGCGTAGGTGAGATATCGGTCAACCCGTTAACCAGAGGACGGGTTTACTGTTCAGCAATTCGTTCTGTCCTACTGTATGGCAGTGAAACATGGCTGGTAAGAGTAGAGGATATTTGCAGGTTACTAGCAATCGATCATAGGTATCTTCGAAGCATTACTCGTATATCCAGTGACCACCGAGTAAGTAATGTAGTTGTTAAGAAACGGGTACTAGGTAAGAATGGTAAATCAATTGATGAAGTAGTGAAACTTCATCAGTTGAGATGGCTGGGACACCTGTTACGTATGGTCAACAACCGACTGCCTCGACGAGCGATGTTTCATGGTGTAGGAGTAGGTTGGAAGAAAGCTAGGGGTAGTCAGACCAAAACATGGCATAAATCCATGAAGTCACTGACATATGGACTGAGTGAGCCATGTTGGTAGGTGTAGACTATCTGGTTGGGGACCGCGAGATGATAACAACCGATGGTTAGAGACCCTGAATGATATGGCTCAAAGTCGTTTGCAATGGCGCAGGTGCATCCACTCTTTGTGTTCTCCCAAATTCTAATCTTCTGAATTCTTCATGTCCCTTTTTTTCTTTCCAAATTTATCTCACTATATTATACTCCTAGAATAACATCATTACTTCATTAAGTAAATCATAAAAGTAAAGAGAATTCAGTGATGAAAACTATCTTTTCGAAAAAATTATTTACTTAAGCTGTACATTTGTATTTATGATTGTATGGTAAATATATGTCTATAGAAGAATAGAAAAGACTGCATCATAAAGTGTTTTTCGTTCTTCTTCATATCTGTCAACTGGACAATTATGTTTCATAATTATTTCCAGCCTTATATTCTTGTCTTACACCTTGATTATTGCGTAACCTCATTTGATAATAAAAGTCTCGAATCAATTTATGATGCAATCTTTCTTATCCTTCTATAAGGATATTTATCATACAACTGTAAATACCAATGTACAGCTTAAGTAAATGATTTTGCCGAAAAGAAAATCTTCGTTGAACTCTATTCTCAATCAACTATTCAATCAACTCATGATCTCAACTATTGAAATTACTATAATATCCACAAACCCCTTTCTGATATTTTAATTAAGTATGCTAAATAATTTCACTCTAATTATATTGTTTTTTTCGTAAATTTGAGCTGTTTTGCAACTTATGAAAAGTCTTAAAATATGGTGAATTTATTCAATTCTTCTAATTTGGTTACTTTTGCTCTCTCTATACATCAACTTTTATTGTTATCATTATTAGTGAATTCATATGAAGTTATATAAATACATTTTGCAAATGGGTTTCCTTAAATTCCTCTGTTTTTTCTTCATAGGGTTGTTTTACGACTATATTTATTCCCATTGAAAGTTTTATACGCTTCCTCTTGGGGAGCTTATATTTGTTTAGTCGGTCGAGAAAACAGAGGATTTCTGTTTTTCAATTTACTGCTATGGTGTTTATTTGTAATGCATATATATTGGTTTACGGTATGTTGATGCTGTTTTTTTCCTTGTATTCTATTACACTTATTAAATGATTACATATCTGCTTCCTACTACATAATGTTATGTTCTTAGAGATACTCACTTTTATCAGATACTCTGTATTACATACCTATAGTTTTTTTAAATTTAAATTTCTTATGCAGTCATACAGTTAGTATTTCGTAGTATGAAATTATCTATACTAAGTTCGGTAGTGATTCATATTAAATACTATATTTTTACTATTACCATTGTTTCTAGTTTAGTAGTCTATTTATAGTTACATTTTAGTCCCAGTCATTCGTTTTAAAATCAATAAAAGGGTTAACCTATTCAATGAGGAGTCCTATACTAGGACGAGACGGCCGTCCAGTGCTCCCAGGTTTCCCGAGATGGTCTAGTTTTAATCAACTCATGAATTCAACCATTAAGTTACTACAATCTCCGCAAACCCCCTTTCTGATAAATTTATGGTTCTTCAATCGTATTATCTACATTCGACGTTTCCTGTCATTCATATTGTTACTACGTCTACTACTTTGACATTGCTTCCAACTAATCGACTGATGGATTGACTCGAGGAAGTCTGAGACTGACAGAAAGTGGTAATTGAAAAGGTGAAACGACATAGTTCGATTTATTAGTTTCATTGTAAATGTCCAATGAATGTTTTCTATTTGATTTGTTCAATTGTAATGTTTCTATGTACTTTACAAATAATACACAATGGCTTGTACTGTAGGATTGTACGGTGCCTATATTTTTAATTAACTTAATGCTCCTATTTATTCGACTACTTCATTTGTACGCAAAGATTTTTTCGGCCCATTAATTTGACTACAATTTGATTGAATGATGATGTTAACGAAATATACATGTCGTCAACCCTCATATATAATTATCAACTGAATTCGCATCAGAGAATAACGGAACAAAATAAGTCAAATACGAGAATGAATTTTGGATGCGTAGGTTTCATACACTCGTTGATCCTAATTTATCAATATTATCAACATTCACTTGTCTATATTATTACTTTTTCCTCCCTTGTATTTTCATTAGTTCATTATACGTATGGCCATTCGAATATTTACAAGTCCAATAGAAGCATGTGATGATATACGTGAAGATACACCGAATAAAAACATCGACAATATGAATCTGTGTAATCATAAGACTACATCAGAAACAGTTTTAAACAATAATCATAATCATATCACTACTACTTATACTGCCACTGATATCACTGATACATCTTTCATTGTAAAGCAGATTAAACGAATAAAAAATAATAGTAATAATAATCATACGGATAAATCTTTGACAAATGGAAGTACATACATTTCAACCAAGTGCAATTAACTAGAATTTATTTGTTATAGACAAGGATAAATTGTTATTTACACATAATATAACTTGTGAACAAACTATATTAGATAAGTTTGTGTTTCATACTCATTCCATTTAATTCTATTCATTACTGTTTTGTCAATGGTTATTTTCTATGCTCCTCTCTTATTTTATATTCTATTCACATATCTATTAATTTGTAAGAGATTGAAATTTTCTTTTCTCTATGTTTTAATTGTTGTTTGTTTACTTCTCGATTTCACTACACATTGATTTTTTTCACAATGAGATTGACACACACACACGCTCACATACACATTGCAGTTAACTATGGATCTTTTATAATTTCAACTCTTTCAATATGGTGGCGCTTTTTCTTCAAGAATTCTTGTTCAATGTCTTAATAGAGATAAATACAAGTCACTATTATTTTGTATTTTGTTTGTATTCTGAGAAAAACGATTAAATTTGTAACCAGATGTATTAGGTGAACTTGAGTTTTATTTTGTCTTTCTGTGATCTTTATGTGTAGTCATTTCTGTATGATATGCGTTTAGACACGCCCTCTCAAATGGAAGTAAAATAATACTTGATATTGTTGTTATTATGTAATGAGAGTGGGATAAAAAAGATCCCATGGAAAGTGGGAGTACACAATTTGTACTTGACTTTCTCATATATTGCCATATGTAGATCCAATTGTAATGTTAGTAAATATCTCCCTACCTCTTTTTCTTTCACTCTGTATATTGTATGATGTAATGAAATCATCAGTCTTCTTTCTTTTTTTATGTATCATTTTGAACTTCTACTGTTTTCATTATTTCGACTTTCATTACAGTTTTTGGAGTGGTTTTTGTCTTTTGTTGTTGTTTACACTTTAGTTTTAATAAAACAAAGAAAAGAGTAGTGATAATGAGGGGAATGAAACTCAAGAAAAATAATGATGGTTTATTTCGTTTGATCTGTAGCCCAATGGTTAAATCATTCCACTATCTGTCATCAAGTTCGAGGTTTTGAACGTCGTTCCATCTAATTCGGTTTGGGCAACCGAGTAGGATCATTAGCCCATATATTTGAACAGTGCCTTATACTGAAGTATCTGGTGTATGGGTTAGTTAAAACTGAAAATTTTATATATTTCATCCCTTCACAACAGACTCTGTGTGTATCAGTGTATTTGTAACGCGAGTTTTTCAAACATTTAATTAACCGTGAGGGTACTCAGTCTTCGGTTACTATTATAAGACTTTAGGAACTGTGTAGACTTTAATAGTATGTTTGAGTGGTACTTAGCCTCAAAAGCTGAATTGTAGATACAAAGACTCAAGAGGACGGATATCGAAAATGAAAAAACTTACTGCGGAAGGTCTTATGTAATAAAGCGACAAGGTTACGTAAATAATGTTTAACACAAAACTATGACAGTATTATCTGAAATGCAATTGATTGAAGGATATGCTGTTACTAGAGCACTCATCAGCCTGTGAAATGATGACCTGACTAATTGGCCAAATTTATTGAGTGCTATGCTATGGTTCAAAAGCAGTTGTGTTGCTGATTAGTAGATGTAACATAATAATTAGGACCTATAGTGCAACACTGGATCTTTAGCATAATGATTACTAAATTATACCGAGTGAATTTGAACAACGTGAATTCCAAGACGCTTGTGTTAAATAAAGAGGATTCAGAGTGTCTCAGTAGTTTTTCACCAGCTGTTATTAGTCTCAATAAATTATGCCAGGAGACTTCCGGTCACATGTCATAAAAAATCATTCATTCTGAGCTCTAATTAGTCAATTTCACAGAAGCACTTTAGCCAATAAATGTCCACAGAGATATATGCGTGAAAATACCGTATCTTTTAGACATGATGGTAAGATGTATTTGAGTATAAACGATAATATGATTTTGATATGATATTTACAATATGGGATAAAGTTTGACAGCATGACATGTTCAAGGTCAAATCACTCGTCATGAGACTGACATTAGTTGATTATACACCACCAAGGTATAATGGGTTTGTGTTATTTTTTTCGAACTGCATCGTCTAGTTGAATCTAAAGAATTGAGTACAATAACTATATTTGATGGCTAACATCAGTCTTGTTAAGAATATTGGATGTGGAAAAGAAATTAGCGATATCTTTTCTACAGTATCTGTATCCCGTTTCTTCTGCATTGACATGCAGTGATGAAACTTGGATAGATGAAAACGAAACTGCTTGGATTAGGGGATACTAAATCATGTGGTTATTTCAATCTAGATTATTAACAAACAGTTTAGGCTTTAGTGAAAACGGAGTAACTGCCTTTTGAACAACCATAATATGAAGATCCACCACCGAATATTACATCGTGTTGACCGATTTAAGTGTGGGTGGACACTTACACAGGAAAGAGTCATCATGACTTGCAAGTAAGAGTGGGTAAACATTTATCAAACTATTCTCAAAGATCGGAAAAGTGATTTAAACATTCCCAAAGAATATTCAAACACATGGAATATTAGTACGGACGATCATTTTCGATAGCTTCTTCATCAGGATCGACAGTTATTAATCCAAGATTATTATGGTGTTACATCAAACAAAACACTAAAGATGAATGAATCCATGGTATAAACTGAAATGGCAAATTTCCCGTCCATCGAATCTTAAATACCACAGATTACTAGTGAAACAAAATAATTAGGTTGACGGGTTTTAATCAATCAGATAAAATCGCATATAAAATCTATTTCATAGTTGTTGTGACAGTAATAACAACAAGAATAGGAAAGATGAATGTACAAGTAAGGATAAGAGGAAATGTCTTGTAAGACAATGCGAATCATACAGATTGAGGAAGGAACAAAATTGGAGCTATGAATAAAACGACCTTAATTTGTGCCAAGGTAATCAAAGAGGTTGTATATGTCTATTTCGTATACGTAAGTTATATTTCTTTGAGTTGATACCAGTTGCTTCAGCTATATGCAGTCAGTGTAGTATTGCGTCTGTTGGTAGGCTTTTAGAGCTTAACGGATAACTGAGGAAGTACCTTCAATTTTAATCTTGTGTGCTGACCAAGCCGGTAAGTAAAAGGATGATAATTCCGGCTTTATGACTAAGAATACCGATAAAAAGATTATGGAAGACGATTGTTCGCACTAATACTCTGTTCTTGATTTATTCAGTACAACAACCAGTCAAACAGTATGGTTGACACTCATCTTTATCTACTGCCAAACATAAAATTGAAGTGGTTCATTTGGCTGATCTTAATTCATCTTCTGTGTTGTATAACTGTAATCTAAGAAGAATTCTAAGTACTTTCGGCCATACGTTTAGCTTAACCTGCCTTATATGTTCATCAATAGTTTGAACTTATATCAAATCTTAACTGGATAATATTGATTTTATTTTCACAGACATGATGGTGTAATTCGCATTGTTTTCCCTTATCATCTTTACTTCTTCCAAATTGTTTAACCTAACCTTTATTTTTCAGATATATTTTAACAAGTAAAGGTGTTATTAGATTGTTTGAAATGTAACGCATTAACATATATGACAGGGTTTTAATTACCTTCGTCTTCTTATTGAATTATCGTAGTTTTTTTTCAATATTTGTTCATTGATCGAGTTTTATGATTGATTGATTGATTAAACAGTCTTTAAGTACCTTGAACTCATTTCATTTTGTTAAATCAATAATCTGTACTTTATTATACACATGAAGTAATTAAAACTTTGTCAATCAATTAATTGTTCGGTATTTTGATATTCATTGTTGTTGTGCCTTTTTTCAAACTGCTTCTCTCATTCTCTCTCTCTCATTTGATTATGTCATGAAATTTTGTAGTTTCATCATATTCAAAGGTCATATTGATTGGTACTTGAAACTTGAAACCAATCTCAGTATTACGTTCTTGACCTAGCTGTTTGAACTTTACTTTCTAAAACAAATCAACAACCTTGCAGTATTCTGTTGATTCACACGATTAGATAGAGGTCATTGCGATGAGTTAACCACTTGATAATGTCTATCATACACTTTCAGTCATTTTAACTGAAAAAGTTATTTGGTACAAAATACTGACTTGATTGCTTACTTAAAAAGTGATATTAACTGCCTTGTTAAAATGGTCAATTTTCCTCAGATTATTTTCTACCTTCTTTGTCATAAAAGGAAGACATTCATTAGTATTTGAGATTTAGTTCTTCTAGCGTTTCATTATTTAACGATAATAGCCTTATCGAAATAATAGTAAACGAGAAGTTATGAAAACCACACCTTATATATGGTTACTTAACGCTATTCTGTATGAAGTAATTCTAGTTGACATATATAAACTGATGTTTTTGCAAATTCATGCATACTACTATTTTGATAAGATTATTCGTATTAAATGGCGTAAAGTGCGTTAATACAATTTTTTTTTGTTTTTTCATTCATTGGCAGACTGGAATTTCTAATACTATCGAATATCATTTAACTATGGTCCAAATATTTTCAAACCGTTAGATCTTAACTCAGTTTGAATTTATATACGTTAATAAAAAAAAGAGAACATTCTTCTGATTACGCTGCATTCTCTGAGCTGGGTACTTTTATTGAGGTCCTCTCATTGTTGCGGATAATGCAAGCGCCAATGTTGTTGTCGAGACTGACAATGAAAGCTTTACAGTCAAACTGTCCACCTTACAGAACTTAACAGAATCGAAAATGATTTATTTGTTCTATAAATCTTTTTTACCATTTTAAAACACTGTGAACAATATTTGTCAGTCATCTTCTTTTAGTTCAAGGAAAGTAACAATATTTAATGTTATGAACGTGTAAGATTTATATCTCAGTTTTTCGTTATGATTCATTACATGACTTTTCAGCAACATTAAAAATTTCTGATAGCTACATGTTTTTCTTCAGATTCTAATGCTCACTAATTCAAACATTAAAAATTCAATTCATTAGGCTGTCAAAGATAACAGATTTAATGCAGTATGACATGCGTGAAAAACTTCAAGAAACAATCACAAACTGATAATCTTTTATTATTCAGATTAGTGCTGAACAAACTTCTGAATTCACGGGCTGTACGAACTCAAATAGTATGTCGATTAGAGATCATATATAGTATGTTAAAATGTTTTGAATCAAGATACTCCAATGTATTTTTTACTAAATGGAACTGTTACTTACACAATCAATACCGTTAGGAATATCATATTATTAAAGAAATGCAGATAAAACTAATTAGTTGTTTACAAGTACGACTCGATCAAGATTCATTTTATTCGTCATTATGCGTGATTGTTACCTAACACTTTTTTCTGCTATTTAAAATCTGAATTTCAGACTACTGAATTATATTTTTGAAAACTTCATTCATTGTTGTAAGTTAACATAAATAGAAAACATTTTACTTGGTAATTATTTGTTGATAATAACGAGTAACGGATGACCAAAGAGTTTATTTTGATAACTGTCAGCTTGCAAACAAACTGATATATATATATTCAAAGGCCAATGCTTATACCCAGAAAAACTAACTAATTCATTCAATTCTGTACATTTCAATATATAACACAATTTTATTTCATCCCTGTTAATTATTAATTAAATGATCGGGAAGGTTTTAGGAAAATTGAAGAAAAAGAAGACAAAGAAGAAAACAAATTGTAGTGAACGAAATCTCGATTGAGAAAGGCCAGATGATTACGTAACACGAAATTACAAAGTGCTTTAGTAAAATATGAAACCCATACATCAAAAACATAATTTACACATCTCCTATCAGTTGTCTTTCACATATTTCATAATTCCTTCAATTCCGTTGTTATTATAATTACTTTCAGCTTC